TGCCTTCCTGTTGTCCATACTAACATTGACTACGAAGCAAGTGTTGTTTCTCTTTTCTGCACACCACATGCGAGTGGTAGGTTACTACATTGGATCTAGTAAAGAAGAGATGCTCACTACTATCATGAAAAATGTTGGGTTTTCCAACACGTGTACGTGTGCCCTTGCTTGCTGAGAACTCATAGTCTTTATCATACAGTGTGCACTCAAAACTCAGACCTTTGACTACATGTGAAATGGCGATATTCTTAGTTTTGTAGAAAAGTTCCTCATACCCAGGACATAAGAGGAATTGCATCAACAATTAACCATTACTTGTGGTCCTTGAATTGAGTGCACATTGCAATGATCTGCATAATGCTACATTTCACATTGACTGTCACGATCATAGTGATTACATATACTACAAAAGTAGAAAATAAATAAGCATAATAGGCTGTAGTTTGTTAGTACCTAAACAGAAGCTACTTTTCATATCAATATCGAAGCCACAGCTACAGTTCAACATATACAGTCAGGGACTGTCCTTCATTTGAATGGAATAAAGACTTCCAACCTACAACTTTGTGTGTCCACTTGTTGTGCAATGTATTCCTTATGTTGCCATGGCAACTTGTCAGGTGATCTTCAGATTGTAATTTGATTGGTCAGAACATGTTGTTATGGCAACCAAGGTCAAACTGGACTCTGATTGGCCAAACAATGCTGCCATGACAACACACTTATGCTCTCTCTCCAGGAAACATATACATGTTGCTTGAATTTGAAATTAAAGAATCATGATGTTATAAAATCCATTGCACTCCTTAAGAAAGGGGAAGGTACACTGAGTTCTTGACGAAGAATGAAGGAAAATTTCCAGACAGCACTTTTCAGATGCAACTTTTAAAACAAAGTTTCAGACACCAAAAATTTCTGCAAAAGGACCAACGAGTACAACATTATAGTGTGTCGATGTTTCAGATTATGTTAAAACAATACATGACTTTATACCATCACTGCACTGAAGATAAGCAAACGTATTTAGATATTTACTGCAAGTGGAGTTGGGCATATTCTTATTCGAGGATCATATGTCTGGTTTGCTCTGAAGTACCCACAGAGAAGTCACTGGCAAATTTTACTGACAAATTCACAAACATTTTTCATTACAGTCCCACCACTTTTAAAGTTGCATTTAGAAACGTATGGATACTGTCCATATCACCTTTCAAATGTAACAAACTTTCTGTTCAATGACCTATACTTACTGTATGGGCACAGAACAATTCACTCCATTGTGACAATAGATCGTTGACATTGAGATTTTTTGCTTTCCTGTCTTTTCTTCCCAGATCATATTTCTACATACCATACCTTTCCAAGAAACAGATAGCAGAATTTGTATCTGTCCAATACATATCACTTTAGTCCCAGTCAATTCATTGTTTTGCTGATACCTGCTTTGTCTAAAACCTCCAAACTCCACTCACAATAAACACCATACATTTGTTTGTCTCGGAAGTTGTGTTTTATGACAAGGTACAGGGCATTTGCATAGTGTACAGTAACGTTTGAGCCAAGCAAGAGTACCCTGTGTTTTTCACGACCGAACTTGCACCTTGCAACACCAGTATGGCTTCTCTGTATCAAATTCATAAGAAATATTGAATACACAAAAGAAAATGAAGCATGGGGTGGAAGTACAATCTCTCCAAATGAGCTATGTAGCTGTAGCTTGCTCATAATAATCTTCAGAAAGCAAAGATTTAGAATTTATAGATGACCACAGTACATTGTTGGTGGAACCTACATGTAGGTTACTTGTTTTGTTCAGACTTAAAGACTGTTCCTTGCAGGGAAGAAATCAAGCATATTTTCTTCTTCCTTTCTTGGGGACAGAGGATGTAGAGAAGGCATATTGGTGTAGAGGTACAAGCTTACAATATGTTGAAATCATGCTTTACAGAAATCTACCCAACCACTTTCACAGAGATGCACAGTTAATGAATGTTGCTGCCCCTAGCAGAACACAGAGGAAATGCACTACACATACAGACCTGAAAGAAGAAGAGTCCCAACTTTTTTGTAACAACTATTTCTTCTGTTGCTGTTTTTTTTTCCACATTACACAGAAGCAGCAGTGGGGAAGAAGTTTCGCCCAGTCCTTGGGTTGGATAGGTTACATGTTTTTCATCCACAAACTGGCTGAAAAGTCTTACTCTCTCTGTCTCTCTCTCGCTCTCTGTCACACTTTTCCACAACAGTTCACAGATCCTTCTTGTCCGCAGCACAAGGAACATAGCCTGGCACAACATGCAGGTCTCGTAGGCAGCAAAATGTGGTGATCATGCAGACGAAGCTTGTCGTATCTTCCTCTGGTTCGCGTACAGTTCATTCCAAATGTAGCCAAAACTGAAAATCATGCAGATGTAGGAAGAATGGTGTGTGTTTGAGGACGGCGACTGTTAGTGTGAGTCCAAAGAGCTTGTCTGTGGAACTTCTGTTGGCTTGGCTGGTGGTCTGTTCTGTGGCTGAAATCCTGGCGGGGGCTTGTGTTGGCCATGTGGGGCCTCTGAAGGGAAATGTGGCTGCTGCTGTTGCTGCTGCTGCTGCTGTTGTTGTTGTTGTTGTGCCATGAAGGGTGTGTGTGGGGTTGTTGGAGAATCCATTTCCGTGAGCGCTTGGAGGGATTTCATCCAGTGTGGCGGACTTTCTGACAAGCCGGTGCTGTTTTCTACGGAGTTGGAGGGGTTGGTGGGCGTGCAAGTGATGATGGCTGGGTCAGGTAACCAGAACGGCGGCTGCTGCGTAACAGACTGTTGTTGTTGTTGTTGTGGGGGTTGTTGTTGTTGTGGGGGAGGGGGCTGCCGTTGCAACTGTGACGGAGGCCATTTGTGTGAGGGGGGGAGGTTGTGCTGTGGTTGGTGGGGGGGTAGTGGAGGGGGGGAGTTGCTACCGTGTGGCGGCGGCATGGGCGGCCCGAAATGGATGTTTATGTTCGGCAGCAACGATCTCAATCCCTCCTGCCAGTCTTTCATGTCAATGTCCGAGTTCATCGAAGCATTGTCCCGGGACAGTCCAAAACCGGGCGGTCTAACCAGCGTGGGTCCGTTAACGTTCCCAAAGTTATCGAAAAACCCGGGGTTGAATCCCGGCAGGCCGGGTTGTGGGTACTGCATCCATGGCGCGTTGTTCTGCGCCGAGGCGTCGGGAGCGAAGTTCCCCATGAAGGGCATTCTGGAGCCCGCCATGCTATTGAAGGGCGGAGCCTGGTTGGCCTGGTAGCGGGGCGGGAGCTGTGACGTGGCTGGGGGCAGCTGTGACGGGTTGTTGTAGTGCTGCTGAAAATGGTTTGGCATCGAGTGGTGCTGCGGGTCCCTGCCGCGGGGAAACTCGTCCCTGCCGCCGCCCGCTTCCGTTTTCAACTCCTTCTCCATCAGGTCAGCCAGCGCCTTCGCCGACTCGTCCCAGGGGTCAAACCCCAGGTCGTCCTCTTGTTTGCTGGACGTGCCGAACCCGAACGCGGCCTGCCAGTCTGTGTCTGTGCTTTCCACTGGAAGACTGTCGTTGGAGAGCCCGAGACCTTGCTGGTCGGCCGGGGGCTCGATGGGCGGGATGTGCGGAGGCACGACGGCCTGGGTGGGCTGCGGAGGGACCGTCGGTATTCTGCGGAAGTCGTTGTGAGAGAACAAGGACTGCGAGAGGTCGCCGATTTCAAAAGGGTTCTTGAAATGTGTAGAATTCTGTGTGGGGCTGCCCAGCTTGGGCGGGGTGAGGGGGGGAGGAGGAGGGAGGGGGGTAAAATCTCTTTGGAGTTGCTGTGGAACGGGTCGTTTGATTGGCCGTCGGACTGCAGTCTGAGGATGTCTGGAGGTTTCTGATTGGTTGCTTGCTGCCCCCCGCCTATCCCGTTTGCACTGCTTCCTATGACTCTGTCGTTTGGTTTGTTGGTCTGTTGTAACGTTGGCCAGGGGTCTTTTGTGGGTCCGCCTTTCGTGGGTTGAACGGTGGGAGGGGAGGGGGATATTTTCCTGGGGAGGGAAGCAGCGTTAGCTTTACTTTTCTCCGTGTTGTTTAATCTGTTTTTCTCGACTGCGGGTGTGGCGGCAGGGGCTGGTGTGCTGAGCTGTCCTGACTGACTCCTGTACAGGTCCTCCAGTAACTTCTGCTCATACTCCTGGTGTTTACCCATCTGTGAACAGGAGAAAAAAACATGTCACCAAAAACATGTCGGGCTGGCAACCTTTGCAGGGATCTTGAAATAATAATAATGTATAGGGCAAACAGAGAACAGCCACGCATTCATTGATTTTTCCATCTAGTACAGAAATCATGCTTTTCCAATAGATTAAAAAGCAATGAACTTAAAAAATTAAAGTTCTGATACAATGTTTATGCAAAAAAATAGACATTAGAAGACACAAAAAACCATAAGCCAAAAGTTCCTTCTTACTACTGTAAAACTTTATTTATTTATTATTTATTTCAAACACCAAAAGCAAACCTTGCAGCAGGGATGAGAATCACTGAATTGAAAGAGTTTGCGTACAGAAAAGAAAAAAAAATTTGCAGTTATTTGCAGTTATTTTACCTTCTCCATTTTTATGACAACCTCTCCATCCAGAAAATCTAAACACTGCAAATGTGCGTTCCAGTATAAATGTATTACTACAGAATTGTTCTAGCTGCAAACCTAAAATGTCCTTCCCACTTCTACCATGAAATTGAGTCCCTGTGAAAATAAATGAATTTACGGTATTACCTGCATGTCTTCTTTGGTGAAGCTGGCAGCCTCATCCCCCAGTTCGTGCAGGTACATACAGTCAGGTTTCTGACACTGAGCACCCTTCAGGAAGTGGCTGCAGTACTTTGTCGTGCCTAGCGATGCCTTCAGCGTTCTCCCGTCCACGTGCGCGTTGTTGACTGTCTGTATCGCCCGCAACGCGTCCTCCGAACGGACAAACGTGACGTACGCACTTGCACTAGGACCCTAGGGAAAATTGACAAATGATATTTTGTAACTTTAAAAAGCTAGCAGAGATACATTTAGTGTGCAACTATTTCTCATTGTAATATGTCCATACATCGTGAAGTGTGAAAAGAATATTTTGCAGAGTAGCAAATAGAAAAAAACAATAACTTAGCACACTGTCAATAGAAAATTGAATGATGAAATTAATAAAATGCTACTGTTAAAGTGGTTTGCTGAAATGATATTTTTGTGTTTCTTCTTGCCAAGCAGGTTGAAATTTTAGTAAAACACATTCTCTAAATGTACTGTATCTATGTGTGCTTTGCAGCAAAATATGGCGAATCCATGAAAAAAGACTCTCGTACAAAAATATGAAGATGAACTATGCCATACCTAGGCAGTACCTTACCTGAGCACCTGCATATGATGTGTTGTTGTTGATAACCACTTTGTGAATCTTCCCAAACTTCCCAAAGTACTCATGTTTCTTCAGCACCTGGACAATAAAAAAATTCATAATGAATTACAATCATTCAGATTCAACAAAAGCTCACTAGTTCGGTAGACAGAATTGATATTCCCAGGAAATTTAGGTGCTGCAAACTTAGATGAATCTACAGTAGCACTGTGGAGGCTGTGAGGCCATTTGATTAGTTCTCAGGGTGCATTTGATTGGTTGCCAGGTTACCATGGAGACATGGTGATGTTCCATAGCATCTCACACTAGTGTAAGCACATACCTCACCCATGGAGAACACATATCTCATGGTCTATCTTTTGGCTAAAGTTAGTTCAAAATTCAAACACATTCTTCTGTACTTCCTACCACAAGTCTTGAAAGTTTAAAATTTCTTACTATGAGTCTTCGAAGTTTACAACTCCTTACTGCCACAAAGAGCAGACTCTTCTGTACTTCCTACCACAAGACTCTTTACCACAAGTTTTGAAACTTTAAGACTCCTTACCACAAGCCTTCAAAGTTTAAGACTCCTTACCTCTGGGTCTGCGAGTCTTGGAGACAGCCCAACCACAAAGCCCAGGTTCTTCTGTACTTCCTACGGTAATCCTACCACAAGACTCCTTACCACACTCCATAGTCCTTACCACAAGTCTTGAAAGTTTAAGACTCCTTACCTCGGGGTCTGCGAGTCTTGGAGACAGCCCGACCACGAAGACCAGGTTTTTCTGCACAACCCTGACGTTAGCCAGGTGTTTCCTACTCTCGGAGATCTTCTGTTTCCTGGCCAGGTCCTTCTGTTTACGCTCGTTCTTTATCCTCTGCAGCTCCTCCTGTGACAGGGGCTTGAACTCTGCTGGGTCCTCAGGGTATTGCTGAAGGGGAAGAGAGGAAAAAATTGTCAGGACTATCAAGAACATTATATAGCAAAGTCATTTCTATATAAGGCCTAGAAAAAACATGTTGTGTTTCCTGTTTCAGTCCTGAAAAAATTAGGGTCGGTAGGTAGAGATTATCTTTCTTTATTAGACTTTGGCAATCTCTAGTGATCCAAGTTCATTCAACTTTTAAATTTTCATGAATTCAAGCAAAATTGTCTTTTGAAAGTTGACAATTTATTCCAGTGTTTGAGAGAGCACAGTCACTGAAATTATGTCAGCCCAGAAAAGAACAAGGAACAGTTTTTTAATGATGATTTATTAGTTACACTTTAGTTATTGCTACTGACAAATCATCATTTACTTAATGCCTATGGCTTTAATAAAATTAGAATAAGGAAACGCAAAGACACAAAACAACTACAAGTACTTGAGTTCTTGAAGCAAAGATTAAGTCATATTTAGTCAAGTACTGTTATCAAATTATCTGTGATTAATAGATTAATTATTTTCAATAATTGGATAGCAGTGATTCTTGTCTCACACACATTCATCCATGAATAAACATCCTTAAATATCATAACCTTCAACATTTTATACAATCCTATTAATATTCTGAAGAAATTACATCAATATTCTAATAGATCATGATTACCTATCTTTAATAAGTAGAATGGTACAATTAATCTCTGTTTTGAAATCAAATTATACAGTAATGAGTCAAGGCCAAAACACTAATCTTAATTAATGAGTCAAGGCCAAAACTTACAAAGACCATAAAAATATGGAATCTTAATATATACATGTCCATGTATTGCAAGGCTTGAAATACTGGGTGCAAATGCAGTTTTGTGAAGTGCACCCAAAATTGGAAATGTGCACCTAATTCTTCAATGTTATTATTTCACGTTGTGCATCCATTTTTTGTTGTTGTTGTAACATGCACCAATGCACCTATCCCCAAAAATAAATTCTGAGCTCAGCCCTGTTAAAATATAATAAAATAGTGGAGAGTTTATTTCCCAACAACTATTTCACATATTCCTATGTAGAAAATACTACAAATCCAGTGTAAGAAATCTAAATGACTAAAACCCTTGTTTTCTTTTCCCTCCATCAAGCCATCCCCATATTTGTTCCTAACTACTAGAACCATACTGTCTCCACTTGGCACCCAGGCATGAGATATGCGGAGGTCACAGAGGTCAAGTTGAGCCTAGGGTCAGTCTGCGAAGCTTTCCCAATATAGCCTGTCTGGACTGGACATCATGTTATACTTGTAAACAGCAACATGTGCCAGTAACCCAGTTATGTTTTTATTTGTGGTACCAAGAAATTAAAGTAAGTCTCACCTAGCTAGTTTGGGTGCTATAAATGCTTTATGTATGAAATTATAGCGAAAATGTGCTAGGAAATGGCAGCAAATGTCACTATCAGACAGATTGTCTCATCCAGAATATTTCTTGTCTTTCTGCCCTGAAATTGCTTTAGATGCCTTTAAAACTTCAAAAGCGAAGAGAACACTTGCTATATTGAACTTGGAAGCTCACTAGAAATTTTGTCATTTCCAATGAATATCTATATGAAATATCTTTAGAATCACTATTGTTATGAAAGTAATGGAATACCACATTTTGAAGGGAAGCATGATTTGTCAAATGATTCAAATGATATGAAACTTAAATATGGAATCAAAGTACATCTACAGTACTGACATTCACTACAAATGTAGCTGATGAAATGTTCCAAAACAGCTGTGCAAACTCCACAGTTGTAACACAGTTAGCAGTAGACATAAAAACCAAATGACCTATTTTTTTTTTCTATCTTCACTTCTAGAACATGTTAACCCTCTCCCTGCTAAGCTAGCCCCTTGGCACCACATTTGTAGCAATCAGCTACAGGGCTTGGCAGTAGGAAGGTTAATAACATCCCCTATAGTCCAGTTCATCAGAATATATACTTAACCCTCTCCCTGCTAAGCTAGCCCCTTGGCACCACATCTATAGCAATCAGCTCCAGGGCTTGGCAGAAGGAAGGTTAACTACATCCCCTATAGTCCAGTTTATCAGATAAACTCTGGCACTACACATCCTGAATCTTATTTGTCCCCCTGGAACATTTCCAAGCCTGGACCCATTTATCCATCCCAGATGTCACATCAGAGGTCTTACTGCCTATTTCAGATGTGCCCTGACTTCCACGGTATAAATCTAAACTTCACGCAGCTGTTTGGATGCTATCTCGCTTACGTTTACATCCACTTTGCTACATGCACTCAGTCTCAGACATTGCCCCAATATTATGGTGGAGCTCTTCAATTCTTGTCTGTAAAAAAACGGTACAGTGTAGCAACTTTTTTGTGAGGGATGCAAATGCAAAAACTTCTATTTTTGATAGTCTGGCATCATTTTCACGGAAACATTAATTTGTAAAATATCTACATTAATTTGCTACAATAAGACTATAATGGATCAGTTTTTCTCTTCCAAATGGTTGAAAATTCATAAGCAATTCCTGGGTTTCCAGAAAAATCACAAAAATTTTTGTTGTTCTTGTTGACAAAACAATTTTGGGTTGATTGCAAAGACCAAATCTAGATCTCTCTCTAGTTCATAGTCTTTTAATTCTAAATCCTCTACACGAGGCCCAACATTTCTAGCTATTCAGACAATGAAGCTCAATAATTAGGTAAGTCTGTCAATCTGTTCATCTCCTGAATCTTAATTTTCCACTTACCTAACACTACACCTAACACTCGAAGCTATAACATTACGCCCACGGAGAAAGTACACCCCCCCCGGAAAGTGACGTGGACGTGTTGCTAGGCAACCAGATTCATCCGACGGTTTCCCCTCATCCGAGGTGAGAGTCCCGGGATGTTCAATGGTTGCCCAGGCAACAGGACACACCCTCTTCAACACTGGAAGTGAACTCTCCATGCTAAGTACTCAGTATTGGTGTCTTCCCAACCGACCCTAGAAAAACCTGCCGACCCTAGTCTTTTTTTTGTGAATCCCAGCAAGTACATACTTTTTTTAGAGCTGATCAACCTTTTCTAGCTCCATGATCTGACACCCAAGAAATGAAACATTGTACAATCAGTTTTCCAACATTGATATTGAAAATATTATAAGTGTCCTTATGCAAGTTTTACTTTGTTAAAGAGGGGAAAAAGATAATCCCTACCTACCGACGCTAATTTTTACGGTACAGAAGTGACCGTGAAAACATTGAACATATAAGTACTGTGAAATTATCGGGAATTACAGTAGACAGTACTGAGAGGGTGTGACAACAACACAAACACAACATCAAGCCCACATAGGGGCAAGCTCTCACATTTCACACCTAATTAACAAATAATACCAATTAGGAGATTGACAAATCATAGGAACAAAGAACATGTCAACTGGTATTGTCGCTGAAATTGAGCAATTGTTTGAATACAAGGGTAGTGTGAAATTGGTGAAACTTATAGCAAAATGGTAGGGTTAGGATGGAGAGATTGAAAAATAGCATTATTCAACTCTTTCTGTAATTCTGTTGTTTTGAGAGTAGAAGTGACTATGTCAGAAGCAATTTTTTTATGTTTCATATTTTTCTCTTGCCTTACACTCTTTTAAAAAGATTATGAAAATTATGCTGCCAACCAGTTTTCATAAATCATACCAATGGCATCTTTCAAATATCTAACTGTATTAATCATATATCAAGAACATTCTTGGCATCATAAGTCGGAAGTTAATTTTAACCACAAAAAATGATAAACTGCTGAGACCTCCTGGTATTCTAAATGGCGATTTTACGACGGTATCAAAATAACGTGGACCAACCGAACTGCTGGCAGACATTTGGTGGGAGACCCGGAGTGGTCGACATGTGCATGATGATATGTGTGTTGTTGTGTCTGTTCCTAACCCTAGTTGTGTAGACACACACGTACAATTTGTTATGAGTTTGCAGAGTTACTGTTTTACATCAAAGGGCGGTTATACCAATTGACTAGTACACATGTACATGTAAATGACAGGAAACTGACAAAGTTTATAACCCTCGATCACGTCAAATACAGAAAAAAAGATTAAAGAAAATGGCTTGATGATGAAACTGTTTCCTAGTTCTATGGCAACAACCGCTAGTGCTGCTAAGTAAACTGCCTAACTTGTCCATTGATCAATGAACTTATACCTGGACTTAAAATATTTTGTACCTGATTTTGCGCTCAAATTTAGTTTGTAAAAGAGCTGTATCATAATTTCTTTTTGCACAGTTTTGCGTAGTCTTAAATTTTTAGACTGATTGACAGAGGAATTCTATGGCATCTTTTGTGACACAATACTACATAGCGGTACTTCTTTTTCTCCAAAGGATGGTAATACGACTTAAGGACAAGATACTGACAAAGCAGATCATTGTCAAGTACAGAGATGGCTTGATACATCTCTCTGGGATTTTGTTTTATGAACTTAGTTGTGTCTGAGTTTTGAGAGGACAACTGTTAGGACACAATAGCGGAGTGTGTGGTGCACACACGATCCTGTGTCATCCCTGCACCGTGACTGTGATATGTTTGTCACGACCCGGGCATTCCTCAACGTAATTCCGAGCATAATTATAGCCCAACACTGACGCCTGGTGAAGCAAGCATGGGGCAGACAACAAGCCTTCATACTCGAAAAATAGAAGGAAATCCACGCGATCGGGACGATCTGGGTGGAGAATATAATCCAGTTAGGTTGGAGGAGTGATTAATCACCCGATTAAAGTCTCCTAATGGGGATATAAGACAGAGAGGACCGTTTGACACACAACATTCCAGGGGCCCGCGACGGGGGGAGGAGTGGGGAGGGGGGCAGTGTAACACGTCGGTCGGCCTACCTTCCTACAGGCGGGGCAGAGCCCGTTCTTGTCCGTGCGGATCCGATGCCAGCAGAAGCGGCAGATCTGGTAGCCGCACGTGCAGGGGAAGAAGTTGACATCATCCATCTCCAGCGGCTCCATGCACAGCGGGCACTCGAGTTGGTCATCTCCCTTGTTGCTACCGAAGGACGACATCTTGGGGCCACAGGTATCTCCACTTCCGGACACGAATTTTCAGACAGAACTGGGGTGACTTTTCCTTGAAACGCGGCGGTGGCGTGCTTGGGAGTATGGGCTTGTAAAAATCGTCGGTCTACGTTGACAGAGGTTGGTGATATTCGCTGTTTTTCGGTCAATATTGCAGAAAATCCGTCGTTTCAAATTTTTGTCACAGCGCCATTTTGGATCGACAGCTTCGTGATTACGAGCGCATGCGCAACACTGCCACATCGCAGATCAACAAATTCATTACGAGTGATATGATTGGCTGAGTTTGCTAAATCGATCAAAATATAGCCAATAGAAACAGTCGTCACAAAACCGTAGAAAAATTGTAATTGGCACCAAGATGGCGGTAAATTCAGGTAAGAAAAGCGGATTTTCGTGATTTTAGCAGCGATTTTCACAAAATCTGTACCATTCTACGGCAGTAATTCTTATTAGATACTTTCTACAATTAACATAGTATCTATTTATGGCCATAGATTGTAATAGGTCCTTTATAGATTTATACAAATCTATGTTTCCGGGTGCACATGGTCGTGTAAGTGGGGAGGGGGGCGAAAGTGAAACCATTCTGTACTTGCTGACATGACAATCTACATCAGAGGCCGCTCAACATGTTCAAGTGTAGAGCATCATGATTCAGTGTTATCTAGCTATAAAGCGTTGAGGTTGGGAATAATGTACTTTTTAGCATTAAGTTCAATCAGAGTATTGATATGCTTATATTTCTTTCGAACTGCCAAATTTATATCAGTTTCAAACTGAATGCAGACATGTCTAAAAGCATTTTTTTTATTTTGCATTTTCAAATTTTTGACGTGTAACAGTGGGTATAAGCATCACCAATTGACCAGCCCAACAGTTCCACCTTTTGGTCTAGCGGTTAGTGCATTGGGTCTGTGTGGCGACTGCTGCATATGGCATGGGTTCGATCCCCGAGAGTCAGAGACTCAGAGTCAGCCCTTTATACATACTTCCTTTTTCTCTTGTGTTACAGACAGATCGAGGTAGGCTGGAAAATAGGATCTATTGAAACAAGATCACAAGAAACAATGAAGCTAATCATACTACATTTTATTATGACACACTTTATTTCTGACTAGAGTTTTCTCATCTTACTTCTTCCCCAGTGGCCAGAGTATGGGGTCCCTACAAAGACCTGTACAACACTGTGGACTCTGCTGTGTGGAAGAAAAGACCAGAGGCATACCATGACCTGGAGGCAGCGCTCCGAAAACACAAACCTGACTTCCTGTCACTGCTACAGAACCCGGTAAGTCCTTTTTAACTCTATCTCAGCCTTCCAAAATTTGTCAATAGTGAAAGTTTGTTTCAACATGACAAACAAACAAAAACAAGCACTTTTTTTTCACAAACTTGTGAAAAACATTTTGAGAATCAAACCCACAACTTCTGTTCAAGAAGAAGTTTACTTCGAATCATGTATAGTAACGTATGTAGTATTACTAGTAATACAGAGTAACTGTAAATCACAATTTTTTGAGGTACTTTTATATTCACGGTTTTCGCAGTCTCTTCTGTACCGCAAACCTATCATTACCATGAACAAATAATTCGTAGACTTTTTTTGCTGCACCTGCTGCCACCGCGAACATACAGTTCCGTGTCCATTTCTTTCAAACCGCAAACTTTTGCTACCGCAAACATAAAGTGGTTTACAGTACGTGTACAAAATCAACCTTTAGAGTTAAACTCAAAGCTCTGATTCTTCTGTAATTTCTCCCAGGCAAAGAACTCTCAGCAGAGGCAGCAGATAAAGCAGGCTAACACAGAGGGAGTGGTGATCCAGGGACAGCCTGCTCCCCGCACCCTCCCCACACAGTTCATACAGGAGGTCATCATCCTCAGTGATCTGTTCAACCTCAATGAGTTTGCTGCACTGGAACTACTGCTGGCAGGTGAGGTGGTCATACATGGGACCAAACTCTGGTTAAGTGGTGTGGTGTGGATAACAGTAGCTTGTTCGGCTCAGAACTAAAATGTCCCAGGTCAAATCCTGCCATTGTGCCTTTGAAAAAGGCACTTTACACAACTTTCCTCACTTCACTCAGGTGGAAATGAGTACCTATCTTCGGTTAGGGATGTCCTCTTGTATGGGACATAAAGCTGGAGGTCTCATGTTTGAGGAAAGCCACACCTTGAACACGTTAAAGATCCCACCTTACTTATCAAAAAGAGTAGGGGACCTTCCCGGTGTGAGTGGTTCAAACCTTACAGTCTGGTCTCAGGTTTGACATCTTGAAGAGATAATAGCCACCTGTTATGTCAAGAATCCTTCCAGAAATGTGGTAAAACTTGATAACAAGAAATTTCATATAGTGCGTTGCAGATAAAATTGGAGGTTTGACTGTATTATGATCCATAGTTTCTAAATTCTGACTATTGTTTGTTTGTTTGTTGTTTATTTAGCGGAGCAGCAGCAGCCCCAGTTCCCCGGCCTGACCCGTGGCTTGGTGGCCATCCTTCTGTATTACGATGGCCGGAGAAGTCTGGTCAACTCTCTGCGGACGATCGTCCAGGCAAGAGAGGGCAGGACCTGGACACTTGGTGAGAGTTGGACACTTTGTGGAATTGATGTTAATTAGCAAAGTATTACTCAAACCTTTTGAATATTCATTCATAATCATAAACAGTATAAGCTGTACATAATGTTAGTCTGGTTGTCAGTCAGAAACTTAACTATATACAACCTTCCTTCCACTATAGGTGTTAATGAAGAGACCACCTCATTGGTTGTCAAATTCACCGATCAGCTTTTGGAAGAAGGGCTGACCAATAAGGTGCTGGCTCTTGTAGAGGGTCTGGACTGGACTGCCGAAATGACCAAGCTAGAAAAAGAGAGAGGACTGGGAGACCAGAAACACAGAAAACAGGTAAAAATTCATAAAAAATTCTGAGTTTCTTTGTTAGAATTTAATGTTTTTTTTTTACAGATATTAATTATCTATTGTTTTGTTGTGAATATTTTTTCCATTCTAGAACCACAATAGTTTCTTGTATGTTAACAGTGAAATTTTGAACTTTTTTTTCACAGGTTGCTGATCTGTACAAGGAGGTAAAGATGTCCCTTGCAGAGTGCCTGTTCTGCTGGGCCTGCCAGACACCTCTGCCCAAGCAGGACACGCTCCGTCTGATCAGGCACCTGAAAAAGGTGAAGACAGTCAGCCCTGATGGGAAGCTGGAGGCCCCAACATTGGCCCTGCTCATGGCCCTGTTGTACTGTTTCGATGTGAGCGTTTTGGAGCAGGCAGTAGACGAAAGGGACGGTAAGTTTTTATAAAAGTTTTCCTGAATTTAAATCTGTTTGTTTGCTTAAATATTTGTTTATTTATGGGCTCAACACTACATGGGGGTTTCGAGAATATTTGTTGCTGAAAACAACTACATGGGGGTTCAAGAACACTGAAAAGCACTGTATGAGGGTTTCGAGAATATTTGTACGGGAAAGCTCTGTATGGAGGTTTTGAGAACAATTCTCACGAACACGGGGGGTATTGGTGTTAAATGGAAAAGCTAGGTTGATATGGAACAGTCCATGTTGAAATGGGGCGGAAGATGAGAGTGAAATTTGCTCTCAAGCAAATGTCGGCCTTTCTCATGACAATGTTTTTCTGTTTTTCCAGATATTGTACAGCGTCTGCCAATCCTGACTGATCCAACATACATAGCAGCAGTGCATAAAGAGCTGATGTCTATGGAGCCATGGGGGGTCCCGGGACTGAAGGCAGCTGCACAGATCAGCTGGGCTATCACTCTCAGGGCCATCTCACAGTACCCTGAAGCTGCAGGTATGTGGGGGATCGAACTACGTTTTTCTGCATGCCTGCACTGGATGTTTCAACTACAGGGTGCAAAATACTGGGTGCATGTGCACCTTATTGCACCCAAATCTGGAGCTGCGCACCCAATTTTTTTCTGTGGGTGCACCAGTGCACCCAAATATTTTCCTAGGTTTATGTATGTCAAGATTTAAATGTATAGTAGTATACATATAGACTCTTGATATCTTCTTGTCTCCATACAGAGTATGGAGAATATCTGGAGACAGATGAACAGCTGGTAGACCTGGCCCTGGATAACAACGTGTTCCTGTACCTGAGTCAGGCTGTCATCGCTACAGACACCTTCCACACAGAGGTAGGGCAGTATTACTTCTTAGAACCCTAGTCCTGCGGAACCCATATATATACATGGTTTGCACATACTCGTACAGTACCATCTGTATAGAGAGAGTTTTGATAATCACGTATACTATTTTTATCTTGTCTGGGAAGTGTTTTTGTAGAACTATAAAGGTAACATATGCAAAGCAAATGCATAATGTTTACCTTCGCATATGGTCTGCTCTGTTAATTCTTACTCAAACACATTCATATATATGGATAGACAGAAGTCTAAATCCCTCCTGCTATAAAATTGTAACATGATGTAACCCAACTCTAGTTACCATGGTGACAGACGTCTGGTTCGGGTCATTGACCTTATTGGTTTGGAGAAGAAAAAGAGAAAACAGGAAAAACAATATGTTTTCCTTTGGTAAACATAATCAAAAACTGTTTGAATGTTTGCAGGAATTCTACGTCAGACGTTTGCACACCCTGGTGACAGACTTCCTGGTACTGATGCCGCTGAAAGTGAAGGAGCTCCGTAGTCATGGCGACGAGGAGGCGCGTATCCTGGCACTGGCCGCGGCAGAGGGCGTGGAACCACCACCGGACATCAGGAGGGGCTTCGAACATCTCATGACCCTGGTAACACTGGTTATTTTTCAGTTTAAAAGTCTTGTTTTAGTCAGATATCTTTAAAACTACTGACGTTTTAGCTATCAATTATGGAACTGGCCTCTGCAGAGAACCATTAACAGAACTGGTAATGTTTTAGTGGCTTGGCGGAAGGAATGTGATAATGGGAAAAAATTTTGTATCATTTCAACAAAAATTTCCACAGGAATTTTGAGTAAAAAAATTTGCTGACCTATTAGAATTAGTTTAATAACAGTTTTTTCTATTCCCTTTTCCATTATGTTCAGTCTGTAATACTTCACTTAACTCATTGTTTTTTTTTTACTTTAGATTGCTGACTTGTATGGGAAGGACCCACAGAAGTTGCAGCTGGCCCTGGAGTTTTGGTGCCCGCCAGAACCGTCCCTCAGTCCATCAGGCTCTTTTCTGGCAGGGCAGCACTACAGGCCCCCACACAGACAGGTGGGTACCTTGTGCCCCCCTCCCTCTACATGCCTTTATGATTTATATTTTTGTCCTTGGCCCCTCCCACCCCAATGTGAGCCTGTGCAAGTTTGTGAGGACTGGTTAGTGCCCCCCTTCCACTTTGCATCTTAGGCCTAGGAAAAAAGATGTGTTTCCTGTTTCAGTCCTGAAAAAATTGGATTGGTAGATAGGGATAATCTTTTTTTCTTTCTTTTTTTATTAGACTTTGGCAATCTCTAGTGATCCAACTTATACAATACAGTTTAACAAAGTAAAACTTGCATGAGGACACCTTTATTTTCCTAATTTTTTTATGTTTTTCCCTCCCACAGGTGAGCTTGTACAAGTTTGTGAGGATAGCAGGAGACCTGGTGCCCCCCTCCCTCTTTGTGACTTACTGATTTTGATGTTTTTCCCTCCCCCGCCCCCAGGTAAGCCTGTACAAGTTTGTGAGGATAGCAGGAGACCTGGTGCCCCCCTCCCTCTTCGTGCCTTACATCAGCATGCTGACAGGACTGGCTAACGGACCACAGTGTGCCCACTACTGTTTCTCCTTACTCAAGGCTAACGGTAAATCTTACACACTGCTGAGATGTTCTTTATTTTCAAAATTGGTTACTGCAGTTTGTATACATGTCATGGTATATATACAGTGTTACAGACTCTCCATAATGTAGAAGGAGATTCATAAATCAAAACATAGGACATCTGAAGTACCCTTATAATGTTTTAAATTATTGGTCAAGTTTTGAGATCTCCAATATACATCTCGTAATATTCTATGTGTGCTACAACAAATGCAGTATAATTTAAAAGGAGAAAAATCTCCGTCAGATGACATAGGAAATTACGTATACTGTGCATTCATGAATAATGACTCTTGAGTTTACATTCAATTTTGGAGAAGTGTCCTCGAAAGTTGAAAACTTAGAGATACCGGCACCACAAAAGTGTACAATGTACACTATATGTACAGTACCACTGTATCATGTCTTGATTTCTGCACAAATACTTTGAATGGCTTCATCATATAAACAGTAGACCAACTGAGCAAGAATTCTCAATATGATATCTTGATGCAAATACAAAATGTATCCCTTTCCCCCCAACAGGAGGCACTGGTGCAACAGTATCGTGGGATCATTTCTTCAACTCCCTGAGCCAGTACTACCAGGGTCTGCGGCAGGAGTTAGCCAGCTCTGCAGACGCTCGCCATCACGTGTACCGCCATCCTGTCCGCAGTATCACGGCACAGGAACTGGACGGACTGCTGTCTGTACTCAAACTCACCGAGAAGATAGCTGAGGAGGTGGGTGGGACAGTTCCCAGTCTTTGCGTGTTTTTTTTGTTTCAGATGTTCTATTCAACAACTATCCTAGCAAAGAAGGTACTTTAATTCACTTAATATTCGTGGTAACAGTCTGAGAAAAATAAACATGTAAAGTTACACGGTACCATACGTTCGTGGTGGCAGCAGGTGCAGCAAAAAGAAAGCAAATCATTTGTCTTTCACGGTATTGATAAGGTCACAGTACAGAAGTATGTAAGTCCGGGAAAAAATTGTTATTTACAGTAAAAGTAAGTGATGATACTAAACCTTGGTGACACATATAGTCACATAGGCCTCTGAATATTTTAGTCAGATTGGTAAGTAAATAAAAAGCCACGCCAACATTTTGGTAGTCCTTCTGCTACCTTCCTCCCTTTGGTGTGGCCTAAAAAACAACTGTGTCAAATTAGGGCCATATCACACTAAATGCTACGTAAGTTAACACAATTTCCAGTAAAGCTTTAAGTCCTTTTTAACCCTTAGGCCATACCAATTTAATTTCTTGGTTAACGGATTTTTCTAGAAAAATAATGGAGCGGGCGGGCGAAAAAAAAAATAAAAATAAAAACAGGCCTAGACATCGTATTATGGCCCAAAATGGTACGATAGGAGCCATGAAGTCAACACACGAGGCTGGTTCAAAATTTAAACAATGAATTTTGAACTTTTAATGAGACCATTGCATTGAAAGATGGAATAACTGTAACTGCTGGGATGAAAAGGTCTGTTTTCAACTGTTCAGGGCAAAATATGAGCATTTTGCAGTTGATTCTGGATTTTTATTTTTATTTGCAAATCTGAAAAAAATGAAGCGGCGAATCCGTTAACCAAGAAATTAAATTGGTGTGGCCTTACTGACTGTTATATATAGTGTTAAATAAGTTAACACAACATCCAGTAAAAACCCCATTTTCCACCATTGTGTTCCTCAGGATGAGAACTCTCGGCTGGCGCTATGTGAACACCCCCACTGGATGCCGACCGTGCTGTTCTTCGGCCTGCTGCAGTGCCCGGTCCCGTCCGAGCTGAAGGCAGCGCTCATGAGAACCCTGGCCGCGCTCGCCAAGTCTCCGGAAATCGCCGCAGGGCTCTGGCAATCTCTGGAAGTGGCACAGGTTTGTACATGACGAATCCCTTTTCTTTAACCTTCAGCACACAAAGGAGCTGTTTGGCTACCAGTTTTCTATTGCTTACGGGGTTAGGCAGCAGGGTGATGGTTAAAGCACCTTAAGTCATAACGCATTTCTGCACACTCAACACTGAGTTGGTAAATGGAAGGCATGTCATTAAGTCTTCTTTTTTGAGCCAGTGGTCTTTTTATAAAGTTCTAAGGTGTTGTATTTTTTTCTCCTCAGATCCTGCAGACAGTCCAGCCCTCAGGACAGACTGTCCAGGCAGCTGGCATACAGGTTTGTACTTTTACACATCTATACACATCTATACATGTTATGAGACAAAACTCTCAAGTTTAAAATCCACCTTCCTTTAACAAAGACTGGAGGTACATGGTTGAAAATTAGTTTGAATCCAAATTCTTTATTAGAAGATACATTATCATCATCATCATCCTTCTCTTTAAGAGGTATAGCATACTAAGTTACAGTTTGGATTTCATAACACCGGTTATGACCGCTACCAATACAAAAATTTTCATGCTTCATTTGTAATAATAACTAATATGCATCTGCAATAACCATTCCAGGTTGAGTTAGAAGAGATAGAGGCGCGAGGAGAGGAGTACCCGATGACTCGAGCCTTCCTCCACCTGGTGGACAGACTGACAGACATCGCCGTCCCCCCCAGTCTGGGTGCCGGGTACCGTGCTCCGGGGTTCGATCCCTATCTGGACTTCATCCTGGAGTCCGTGTTCCTCAAGTTCAGCACCAGGGCTTACAAAAACCCTGAGGAAAAGGTGAGGAATTTTTTCTCATGTTACACTGTACCAGACAAAAAGATTAAACCAGAAAATATGATTGACACATCTATCATAAACATTGTGAGGAGCTTACAATCACTGGGGTACAATGTATAGAGTCTGGCATCAATTGCTACATGAATATATCATACGAGACTAACCTACTTTACAGAGACTAATGTAGGGTGGGATAAGATTGTGCTTTTACATTCAATGCAATGGTTGAATTGCTAGCATTTGGGCATTTTTGAAGATACTATTCTTTTTTCATGCAAAAGTTTCAAGAATTTGAAAGAAATATACCAAATAGGACTGAGGAAAACCATCTGACACAAAAGGAAATGAATCTCATTATTATGACATATTTTACTTCTCTTCTGCTGGAGATTTTCCTGTTAGAAAGTATAATTTGTAGAAAAGCAGTTTTCTTTTGTCTTTAGACAAAGTGCTCAGTCTCTCCATTTCCATTTCTCCACAGTGGCAGGTCACATCAGGGGTTCTCCAAGTCCTCCATAAACTGCTACAGTACCACGAAATGTCACCAGAGGACTTTGTGGACCAAACCATCGAGGTTCAGGGGGGAGGGACGACCGTTGCGAACAAGCCGCCTGGGCACACCCTCCTCATCCACATGTTAAACGACAGTCCCCTGCTGAAAACAATATTACAGATTATAGACGAGGCTGTTAGGCTGATGGAGCAGTATGTACCATTCCCAGGTGGGTAAGAAAGGATAGGATATGGAACACACCTATAGAGAAAACGGTTTGGCTCTAGGCCTAGAAAAATGTTGTGTTTTCTGTTTCCTGACTGACCCTACCCTTTTTTGTGTGTGGACCCCTGCAAGGGACAAAATTTTTAAGCAGATTTTGGTATAGAGAAGTATGGGATGAGACAAGCCTGTAGTTAAAATAGTTTAACTCTAGGTTGTACAAGGAATCTGTATATACAAGCATATGGTGGCAATACAAGAAATTTGTACAATATTTTGAGAATGATTCAACTTTTTTCTCTTGTTACAGAAAGTACAGTAGATTCTCTAAAATTAAATATTTCAAACATATTGCCATGTGCCTGGTAAACTGGTGTGTTACCCCGAAGGGCAGTTACATGTACATGTATACCAACCAGCTATACAGATACCGAAGATTGTGTGCTATGCTGTACTGGTTGTACTGGCTATACAGATACTGACATTCAAATTTGAAATTCCAACTGTTCCCAGGTAAAGAAGACCTGGAGAAGTCAGCCCTGCTGTGTCTACAGATGTTAGAGTCCACGTTTGACAAACAGGACCAGTTCATGGCCGTCCTGCGCGACCAGGGATCCTCTGTCATGGCCGCTCCACTGGACGAACTGTTGGTCGGAATCAACCCTCGCACCGGCAGGGCTGACCACCTGGTCAACATCGCTAGGTCAGTCTTTTAAGTTCTTTATCATCTGTCATATTGCTATAAATAATTACTGAACACCGCAATTTTTATCACATATTCAACCATATCTTGAAAGTTCATCTGAGTTGGTAGAAGTCATTATGAAGCAGTTCATAATTTATTATTTCTGCCAATGTGGTCATGATGTTGAAAAAATCTCCAGCAATTTTTTTCCACTTAGTAAAAGTCCTAATGTAAAGACTATAAACAAAATATGATGTCTGATCATTTCCATGTTTGAAGTTGTAAATGAACTTTTAGAATTATTTTTTTATTCAAGGAAATAAGCATGGGACATTAGATAAAGCAATAAGGTTTTGCAAGCCCAAGTGTAGCTGCTCAGTCTATATTGTCTGTATTCAACATGCACATTTTTGGAATACAACAGTACAAGATAGCCTTGTACATACATGTATATGCCACATAAAAGTTCTTGGGAAGATTTAGTCAGTATCTGAGTTCCCCCTACTTTGGTTTTGGAAATTTTTTTAGGTTTGTGGAATACAACAGCAGCAGTCCAGAGCTGGCCCTGTGAAGATTCAGTTAGATCTATTCAGCTTTTGAGCTTTGTGTAATTCAGTACCAAAACAGTGGTGTTAATGTGTTTTGTAGGTTTGTGGAATATAACAGCAGCAGCCCAGAGCTGGCCCTGTGCAGTGTGAAGATCCTGTGCTGGATCTGTCTCTCCTCTGCATCACAGAGTGAACTAGTCGGAATGTTCACTGCACAACAGGTCAGTACTCTTAACTTTTTTGTTTGTTTGTTTGTTTCGCATAACCAGTAAACTGCCTTTTCAGGTGTAACACACCAGTTTTGTACATGTAAGTACACGCTGCATAAGACCGGACCATAAGGTCTTCTGCATACTTCAATCTTTGGATAGTTTAATGTCCTGTCCTAAGGACTGCATCCCTTTCCAGTAGTTTGCATGTAAGATGAGCGACACAGCTGGGATTCAAACCCATGACTTCTTGGTCCAGAGACAGCATCCAGACAGGACCGGGCCTACTTTTTTGAGTCTCCATTCAGATGTAAGAGTGCTGACCATTGTACAGTAATGTTATGCTAATGATTATAGCTGTGATACTGAATGCCTCTGTTCTCTACAGGATGTGTCCCAGAGCCTACTGCATGGGTTTGTGGAGTGTTTGGAGACAGATGATATAGAGGACAAGGTAGACAACACAGAACAAGGTACCTGAACTCATTTTTAACTTTTTTTTCCTTCTAGGCATTCTAAAAAGTATGTTGTTACCTCATTTACACATTATTTGAAAAAGAAAATTTACTGGAGTTTATATGTTTCTTGCAGATATTCCTAAATCTACTGTCCTCCTAAGTTTTGAAATGACTTTTTTTGGATTAAAAAAATTAATTTTCTTATACAGAAGATGCAGAGCTGACAGCATCCCAGACGCGCTGTTCCACCAGACAGCACATCCTCCAGCTGCTGTTACACTCCCTGGACCAGCCGGCACCCAACCTGGCCCACTTCCTCCTGGGCTTCCAACTCAGGAAACCTGTGGTCAAAACTAACTTACAGGACCCAGGTACTGTAAGCTTGTTCTTTTTGCTTGCTTGTACAATGTAGGAAAAACCAGACTTCGCAGCTTCCCCGAGCATTGAATTATCAACACAAGCTGCACTACTTGTTCCTGACATGAAAAAATATCAGTCATCAAAAAATCTAAACCAAAACAAAAGATACGAAGACAGAAAGTTCTGCTGCAGTACCAAGGTCAGCCTCCAGGAAGCCCAAATCTGACCTTGACTTTTGTCTTTGCAAGACCTATCTACATACATGTACCAAATATCATCACAATCCAAAATCAGTGTGTTGATGAGATGATGTCATTAAACTAAACTTAGTCTATAAATTTGTCCCTCAAAACACACGGAAAAGCATTTCAGATGGTCAAGATTTCAAACTATTCCTGGGAGAGCATGCTTCCAGAACCCACTAGGATTGTGGCCTTGGATTGAAATCTTACTCCTTTGGTGCTCAACATGATGTCATGTGAAACAAAATTGAGATGACAGAAAAAAAAATCCCGCTGGCTAGAACACTGACAATGTTATGACTTTCCTTCTAAGCCAATTGTGCCTCCCTTTTTCCTAAGTCAAAAGATACAAAAATCAGAGTTTTCTGCACTCAGGTCAGCCACCAGGAGGCTAAAATTGCCCATTTTTTCTCCAGGTGTGTTGGGATCTCCTCGCACCTGTCTCCACTCCATACTGGGTGTCCTGGATGCCGGGGTGGACTCTGCAGGGGGTCCCGGCTGTATCCATGACAACCCGCAGCTGTCTGAGCTGGCGTACAAGCTGGTGTACCACCTGTGTGCCAACACGGAGACCTCCGACCCCACCATGCGCTACCTGCGCACCACACATGACTTCCTGTACAGACAGATGCAGCATGTGCCTTTTGCAGGGAAACATGCTGGTAAATAGTAATAAACATGTACCTAACTTCATTATTTGTTACCAAAATTCTGGTGTATTTTTCTTGAAAGTCTTCAAAAGCTACTACATGTATCATTGTATGTAGGGACTTTTCATTTTGTCTTGAATATCTGCAAATCTGTGTGTAAAGCGAGAAGTAATTTTTGCCAGTAATAGTAGAAAAAATTCTGAGCAAGAGCATTTTTAGGACTGTGAGTTACAATTTGACACCACCCTGGCGTTTTTGTCACCATGGCATTTGAATCACCCTTTCTAAAAGTATGAATTGTTTTCAGGACAAAGCTCTTTGAGCGCTGGACAAAGAGCTGGTGTTCACAGGCTACATTGTAACCATATTTTTCTTAATAACTGTTATTATATATAGATCATCAGTGTAGTCTTTTGCTTAGCGTCATAAGAAAAATTCACAGAATTCATTGGGTTTTTTTTTCACAATGTTTGTCAGACCTGGACCCAGTGTTGTTGCTGAATCAGCAGTCCTGGCTGCTGAAGTCTGTTGCCATCGAGCTGCGTCTGACGTCCCTGAACAGACAACGCTCGCACACGCAGAGGTTACTCAGTCTGCTGCTGGACGATAACGCCTCACAGATCAACACAGGTGGGATAAACAAACAAACAAACGTACAAACACACACACACACACACATATATGCAAACATATCTATCACACATGCACACACAGCTGTACACATGCTAAAACTGTCCTATTAGACCACCCACTAGACAGGTCAAGCATCTTAGCAGAACGTACTACGTATACACCCGCGAAACCCATAATGTACAAAATGTATTGTGCGTAGCACTTCGGCAGAACGTCTCATATAAGGCTGTATTCCCGCATATAAGGTTAATGTCCTGTCTGTAGTTACCAAATGTTGTGTCAGAAAAGATATCCTCTGCAACAGGCAAAATTCTAATGCATCGGTGACCAAAGATCCAATGAAAAAATGGAAAAATCAGGGTTTTACGCAGGCACAGTACATTCTGCTCACAGGTTGTAACTATAGACATGATTGTTAATGCTTGTGTCAATGGAAAAAATGTATCTATAAAGTATGGTCACATGGGCAAGGTGGTTGTTACAAAGAGGTGGTCACTTGTACAGGTTTGACAACCTCTAGATGTGACTGAACACTTCATTTGGTCAAATTAACATTTATGTTAATTTTTCTGGGTTTATTCTTAGTGACTATACTTTAATTACATCATGTCATATTTATGCATGCAGAAAAGTCATCTGTGACGTTTGAGGTAGACAGAACTACTTTTACAACCAGCATGTTTGGTGGACTGCAAACTTATGGTGGTGTGTTTAATTTTGTTTTACATGCTGTGATGTGCTACATGTATGCTGTTTTTGTTTTTTCCTTATTTTTGTGATCTTGACTGCACCCTCTTGCACCTTTTACTCTGTTTATATTTACATTTCACCATAAATTGTGGTAGAGTGACATTTTTCACCTCTATACATGTACATGTATGTACATGTATGTTTCACTTAGTCCAACTATTCTTTGTGTGTCAATGTCAAAGTAATGAATTTTTCAGAATTCATTACTTTTTCTCTTTCTTCAGTGCACTTATTGTAATTTGTGTGTGTGTGTATACATAAAGTTTCAGTTTCAGATTTTTAAAGATAAATGCTACATAATATTATTATCATTAGTAATAAGTCAACTAATACTTGGCAGGGTCAATGTCTACCTGACAAACATTTCAAAAATGTTTTTAAGATAGGTAGGTAGGACAAAAATTTAAGCAATAATTATTTCAAGTAACAGCATCCCAGCTTAATTTTACCTTAGTTCCAAATTTGTCCGAACCTTCCCATGATGCCCCAGGAGCGCCGACCAGGAGGAAGATCCTGTCTCTGCTGGACTCACTGGACTTCACGCAGAATTACCCAGAATCCCCTCAGCTGGACTTCATGAACCCTGTGGTGATAGAACAGGTCATGCAGGCCTGTCAGACCAAGAACAAGGAAGGTACGCACATCTTGGACATTGTTTGGTTCTTTGTTTGTTTGTTTGTTTGTTTGTTTGTTTGTTTGTTTGTTTTCAAGGCTTGAAATACTTTTCCTGCATACTTACACAGGAGCAGGTAACATTGAAAATTACCTGCACCAGACAAATTTTACCTGCACCACTCAGAATGTAGGAAGTATGGATCACACTAAAAACTGTTCAGAAACTATTGCCATTTATAATTATTATTTTTTTTAAGCCTCATAGGTTCTAACAGTCAATGCAGCAAAAAAAAAGTCCACATATGTCAATAACCCTAACCACAAGACAACTTTGCCGCCTAGTTGCCGCCTAGTTATTCCTGCACAGCGGCGCACCAGAGGTAGCCACGTCTTTAAATACAATATTATTCCTGCAACGAAAGACAGTTTCAAATTCTCATTTTTCCCACGCTCGATACGAGAGTGGAACAGTTTACCTGCCCAGGCCATACAGGCACAATCTGTGGAGGCCTTTCGGGCCTCCCTACCGTGAGGTCCACGCACCTCCCCCCCCCTCAGCGATACCCCTTACGGGGTTGTTGGAGGAACTAAGAAGAAGAAGAAGTTGTTCAGTCATCATTGTCATATTGGTGTCTATGTATTATTATTTTTCATTTCATTGAAGTTTGTACAAGGACATAAGAGTTGACAAATGTTCCTTCCCATTGCAGGAGTGAGTCTGTGTAATGTAAAAGCCCTGCACAGGGTGTTGGTGGCAGAACTCAACGCACTGCAGGGGTCAACAGCCGCAGGACAGCGTCCTCTTATCACTGAGGTAAGGACATGTACATGAACTTCATCTGTTATCTGATAAATAGCCTTGTGATATCCAAACACTTAGATTACATCTTTCTGTTGTTTTTAAGTTATTGATTTCCATACAGTTATTCATCCAAGTTATTGATCATGTGATTCACAAATTTTTACAAGCAGGATTTCCCACCTAAAATTTCACAAGAATATCCAACCTCTGGTTAGGTGCATTCATGTGCATTTATCAAATGTGTATTGACTATGCTAGCAACAAATATGGAAATTCAAGTTTTACAGTATGGCAAACATCTACATGTAGTAAGTGAGATGTAAGAATTCCAATATGATGTTGTCAAAACTAGGTAAAAAACAGCCAAGAAGTAGGGATTTAGGCTTATGCACATGTACTAAAATGTACATGTATGTCCTCTCATATCTAAACTATATGTACATGTAACTCTCAAGACTCCCAAGACTCTCAAGAATTATTTATTGATCAAGGGCAGTAAACTTAATACAAGTTACTGAATTGCGAATCAATGTACATTTCATTATTTTAAAATCAAGAATTTATAGTATTGCAGTCATTGAGTCATTAGGAGGTTAAAATACAAAGTCATTAGGAAGTTAAAATACAGTATCATTAGAAGGACTACAGACACCACAATAATTACACATACTACAACCACATCAACTGAAGCCTAAAAGTAACCATAACCACACCATATCTCACCCTAGGAGATCCAGTTGATCCTGCAGTATGCTGTAGCGAGGAACCAGGTGAAGGAGAGTCTGCAGGCTAAGAAGCAGGGTTTCGGTGCGTGGCAGCAGGCTGTGGAGGTGGTGGTGACCGCCTGCCCTCCCGAGATGCTGTATGGGGAGGATCGCAAGGGGGCGCTGTTGGACATACTGCAGGAGCTGCTCAGGAAGGTTTGTAGTGCTGTAAACTCTTTTATTTTTGTTGGGGCATGATTTTGCGAAAAGAACATTTTTGCATTGATGATTTTGTGCCACAAAAACATATGCAGATTTTGCAGTGGAGATGCAAACTACATTTGTACTACAAATATTTGTTTTGAACCAGTTTTGAACCAGTAAGGGTAGTTAAAAAAGGACCTGATTTAAAGAACAAATAAAAGAAAAAGAAATTTTTTCCCCTCGCTAATTTTGAAGGAAAATACATTTTTTTGGCAGATATCAGATCCAGATGCTGTTCCAGAGCTGACCTCCCCCGTAGCAGGAGTGGTACTGACCCTGCTGGCCCACCTCCGCCAATCATCCTCCACCGAGCAGACCCCCTTACCTGGTTCCCAGTACGTCCCCCTGCTGGACAGTCAGGGAGCGGGGTACGGGAGCGGCCCTGTGTCAGCTGGTCCTATGCAGGTGGTACTGAGGGGCCTGATAGAGAGCATTATGCAGTCTGGTAAGGAGTCTCAACTCACAATCATGTATTCAAGGTGTTTGATAATTTTGTTGGAACAATTGTCAAATTGTATTAGTTTTAGCAGTTTCTACCTGCATGGTTTTAGGAAGACCAGTTGACTGTATCTTTAGATGATGCCACAAATAGTGTTGTAACTTTTTACCATTGTTGGGTATCAAAAAACTATGGTATCTACTATGTCCCAACTCAGTAGGCACAAAGGCATAAGCATTGTCAGTCAGCACTATCTACAGTATCTGCAACAGGGGGCAAGATTTCTCCCATTTGAAGAATTGTCCAAAATCAATGTGCACAAAGACATCATCCATGAACCAAGTTTCTTTTATATATAAAAACAAATTTTTATAGAGAAAAACAGTAGCTATAGATTTATTGTTTACATGTACATGACGTGTATATCATAATGTTTTACCATTCCCACAGGAGGCACCCAGCAGAGGGTGAGAGCTAACCTGTATGGAGCCCTGCTGTACTGTCTGCAGATCCTACAGGCCCACAAGGGGGCGCTAACAACCACTGACACTGGTGAGTCACTTGATGTAGGATGTAATTCTTTTGCTTTTTCCTGTTGGGCCATTTTGATTCCTCTAATCGCATTCCTAAGCTAAATATCTATTTGTACATTTTTTGTACCAGCACATGACTGGATTATGAAGGAGACAGCTGAAATCATTGGTAGCTACATGATTGTATAGGAACAGTTGTCATGACAAAAGTTCTGTATCAAACTCCCTCCTTACAGGTTCCCCGAGTGTTCTGGCCTTGGCGACAGAAGGGGACGAGGCGAGGGTTGCCAGGGAAACGGCCGGAATCCTCGGTAGCTATGGCAACAGCTTTGTGGAGACGGTCTGCAGGGATGCGTCCGATGGGCACGATGTCGGAAGGGTCAGTTGTGGCCAAATTTTATCTATCTAGTTTTTTAACTGTTTAGGTATTTTCCCTTAGAACAAATTCCCTACATGTAGAATTCTGAAGTACAGTACACAGTCCAGTGACTAAGTAGCCCTGCATTTAGATCAAAATGTTGGAAGTTTGAATTTCCACTGTTGTTGACATGCACCCAACATGCACACTACTTGAAATGGTAACAGTCCACAGTACAAATGTACATTATACTGGAAAGAACTAGCAGAATTTTCAAGGTACAATGAACCTTTAAATACTGTATAAGTGACTGTCCTCCAAGACTAGTTCACCAGTTCCAGATAAACTTGGTTGAGATCAATTTTAGTTTAAATACAAACAGAGGTTGACTTAGCAACTGATATACTGGGGTGGAACTGGACTGGTATTTATCCCTTAGTATGTCATGAACAACATGTGCAAGTCAGTCAGGTTCAAGTCCAGGCCTGGACCTGATTCTCTGGACCTGGACCTGAATGTTCTGAATTCTGGACCCACCCATAGTAACCCCTGTTCTATCCTCCCTCCCAGATGCTGGCCTTCTCCACGTTAGACTCCATGTTCCAGCTGGACCGTAACGCACAGCTGCTGACGTTCCTGGTCAACAAGGGCTACCTGCGCGTCTTCACCGACAGTCTGGTACGGGAGGACGAGCTGCTACAGAGCATGCTCAGTCCCTCGCCGCAACCTCTCAGGGCGCTCTATCTGTACGAGTCAAAAATGGTAAATATTTTGCTTGTTTGTTTTTTGTTTGTTTTATATCACAGTATTTGCTTGCATTTCCAGTAACATCTTTTGAAATGAAATACAAGATATCCTATCCAGTTGCCAAAGGTCTGTTCCCATGTTTTCTAGGTTAGCCAAAACCCAGACTGACTCACAGTCTGTATCTGTATAGTCAGTATGACTGCCCTTTGGTGTAACACACCAGCTTCTGTGTCTGTATAGCCGGTATAACCACCCTTTGGCATAACACACCAGCTTCGCAGGCACAATGCACCGCAACAGCTGGCTACATTACACCAAACAACTTGTTACACCTAACCTTTGAAAATATAGCTTTAAACATTGTTTGAAGCTATCTAATAATAATGCCCCTACTGTACTTGATGACAGCGAGTTCCACTCTGCGATAGTTCTAGGAAAGAATGAGTTTGCTGATGACATTGTAAATGTGGAGAGAATGCTATCCAGCTCCTGATGGTCTATTTCCATATTTCCCAGGCTTTGCTCTCCAGGCTAGCCCAGACCCTCGCTGGCTCCCAGGCTCTTCTCCAGGCAGGAGTGCTGGTGAGGCTGTCTGAGTGCCAGTTCCTGGACATGAGACCAGAGAATGCCGGCAGGTAGGAAGATTAGCAAAATAATGAGCATGATTATACTATGAATGATAAATATACCAACAATTTTTATGTGTCCTTTGACCTTATATAAGATAAATGACCCATTACGTCACCACAGCCTCCTGGTGGAATAGGCAGTCATCAAATGTGAACATGGATGGGGTCAAATATCACCCCTACGTGTGGGACTGGTAGAAACCAATGAATCACCTTTTACAAATAGGATTTTGGGTTAAAAGACACCAAAACTGAAATTACTGTATTTGTCCAGGACTCCTTTAATAAAGCTTCATTCATAAATGTTAGGAAAGTGTCAAATTGTTTCAAATTCAACCATAGACCACATGTACAAATTCATGGTCTCCTCTCATACTACAGTGTATGATGGTACAAAATGTAGTCTTTTGTAGTCAATATCAGTTTCCTCAAATTATTCTTGCGTAAAGCAGTTTGTCATACATTGTGCCTTATTCAATATTTCATCCATAAACTGAATAATGTTATTATATGGGGACTTAATTTTAGTGTCTCCAAAGTAAGCTAATTTTAGGTGCTGATTTTTGATAGATAACTGACAACTTAACTTGAAGTTGAATCGTACAGGGTTCGAATGTTCTTCAGCACCATTGCAATATGTGGATGTGCTGTTTTGTCCCCATAGATATCTTTCATCATCTTCAGTGACTGTTCGTAATAACCAATAGCTTTCCTCTGATCACCAAGTTCACTCCAACAGGTCGCAATGTTGTTTAGTGTTGAAGCAATGTAGGGAAGTGGCGTTGTTTTGCCATAAATTGCTTCCATCATCTTCAGTGACTGTTCGTAATAACTGATAGCTTTCCACTCATCACCAAGTTCACTCCAACAAGTCGCAATGTTGTTTAGTGTTGAAGCGATGTCGGGGTGTGGCGTTGTCTCACCATACATAGCTGTCCTGATCTTCAGTGACTGTTCAAAATAACTGATAGCTTTCCTGTGATCACCATGGTCACTGCAATATTTGCCATTGTTGTTTAGTAATAAAGCATTGTCACGATGTGGCATTTTTTCGCCATCAATAGCATTACACATTTTCAGTGACTGTACACGATAACTGTTAGCTTTCATATGATCACCAAGCTCACTCCAACATAACCCAATGATGCTAAGTAATGACGCAAAGTCGGGATGTGGTGTTGTTTCGCCATAGATAGCTTTCCCCATCTTCAGTGACTGTTCGTAATAACTGATAGCTTTTCTTTGATCACCAAGGGCCCTCCAACAGTTCCCAATTGTGTTCAGTAATGACACAATGTCAGGATGTGGTGTTGTTTCTCCATAGATTGCTTTTGCCATCTTCAGTGACTGTTCGTAATAACTGATAGCTTTCCTCTGATCGCCAAGGGCCCTCCAACAGTTCCCAATGTTGTTTAGTGTTGATGCAATGCCGGGATGTGGTGTTGTTTCTCCATAGATAGCTTTCCCCATCTTCAATGACTGTTTGGTATAGTTGATAGCTTTCCTCTGATCGCCAAGGGCCCCCCAACATGCCCCAATGTTGTTTAGTAATGAAGCAATGTCGGGATGTGGCGTTGTTTCTCCATAGATAGCTTTTGTCATCTTCAGTGACTGTTCATAATAATTGATCGCTTTCCTCTGATCGCCAAGGTCACTCCAACAGTGCCCAATGCTATTTAAAGATGAAGCAATGTCGGGATGTGGCGTTGTTTCACCATAGATAACTTTCCTCATTTTTAGTGACTGCTCATTATAACTGATAGCTATTGTCTTATCTCCAATATCACTGCAACATGCTCCAATGTTGTGTAGTGATGTAGCAATGTCGGGATGTGCTGTTGTTTTGCCATAAATAACTTTCATCATCTTCAGTGACTGTTTGTAATAATTGATACCTTTCCAATGATCACCAAGGTGTCTCCAACATTTACCAATGTTGTTTAGTAATAAAGCAATGTAGGGATGTGCTGTTTCGCCACAGATATCTTTCATCATCTTCAGTGACTGCTCGTAATAACCGATAGCTTTCTTCTGATCACCAAGTTCACTCCAACATTTACCAATGTTGTTAAGAGATCTAACAATGACAGGATGTGGCATTGTTTCACCACAGATAGCCTTTTTCATTTTCAGTGACTGCTCATAATAACTGATAGCTTTTCTCTGGTCACCAAGGTCACTCCAACATCCCCCAATATTGTTCAGTAATGACGCATGGTCGTCTTTTGGGGTATCAATACTAAATGCCTGTTTGTAGTAGCTTATTGCTCTCTCACTCTCACCGTGTTTTTTCAGGACATTGCCTAATTCAAAACATATTTCAAACTGTTTTTCCCTGTCACTGCCCGCCTCTTCCAGACCTGCTTTCAAGTGACGCATAGCTGCATCTAACTGCAATAGCCGTCGTGTTATTCTGCCCTTTGTTAGAGATGAGGTGTCAAAGATGGCCTCTGAGAATATCTTTGTTGCTGCAATGTCCTTTGCAACTGTATCCACAATACAACTTTTTAGTGGGATGGCAGTATAGTAGTACCTGAAAAGCATTTTAGAGTCTGGTATGTAGAAAACTGACTGAACTGAAGTGTCATCAATGTCATGTTTGTGTAGTTCCCCTCGGACTTTCATCTCTTTGAGAGGAGACAGTCTGTCCTTCTGTCCTCCGTTGGCAATGTACGTTCTTAACCGTAGCTCCGCTGAGATGCTGATCAGTACAGTCAAGTGGTGGGCATCTTCGTGACTGATCCGCTGTGTCTTGTGTAACTCTTCTATTATTCCCCACACACTGGGGATTGTGATACCGCAGTAAATACTCAACACATCAATGGCCACGCTGGGAAAACGGTATATTTCTTTCTTGACATCCAGAAGCTGTCCCGTTGGTTCAATATTTTGTTTTTCTAGATTATCATTCTTTACTATCAGTAGTGCTAACAACTGTGACAGCACAGGGGAGTGGTTTACGCTTTTGTTGACTCTGTCTGTATAATCATTCACCAAAGACTCATCTCCTGTTAAGTAGGTCACCCGTCTGAGGATGTCTGACAGGTGATAGCCTTCCGCCAGGGCGATGTGCAGATGCTGATATTCGGCCAACTTGGCAGGAGTCTGGATGAGACTAACAGGAGGTTTGCTTTTGGTTTCTTCTCTTCCAAACGGAGTCTTGGAAGCCCATGGCATGAAGCCGTCGAAGGCAAAGCCACGAGGTGTGACGGAGTCGAAGAACCAATCTTTCTCTGGGTCTTCTGAGAGAAAGTCGTTGAGTGACAGGATGGCCATGGCTGGGAGGATGGTTTCCCCAAGGTTGATGACTTTTAGATGTAAGTAGTGTGTGAGATTTAGGAAGTACCTCCGTGTGTCATCATCCTCCTTCCCCTCCTCAATCAGAATGGCAAACTCCAGGTCAGAGTACGGCGTCACCAGTTCTGTGGCCTGTGACCCCAACCCGGCGAAAGCGTACTTACAGGGAGGGGGTCCGAGTTTGGCGATGCATTCATCTGTCAGTACTTGGATAAACTCTTGTCTTCCAACTGTGATGCTCTTGAACAAGACCTTGATTGCTTCAGCTCGTTTGGTCTCCACCTCTCTCACAACAGGATCGTCTTCATCATACTGATAAGGGTTGTGTTCCTGATGAATTGTTTCAAGCTGAGATTTTACACGGTTGCGAATGTTGTCCAGTTCCTTTATGTGATCTAATGCACTGCTATATGGACACGGTTCACAGTCTACGTTACATGTGTTCCTAAGAAACTGCCTTTCAGTTTCTTGCAATTTTGTTACCATGTTTTGTTTGTCTCCATCTGTTCTGGCCATGGAGGCGTTATACAGAGCTGCCGCCTGTGTGAATTTCCTACCTTCTCCTGTCCGCTTACCTCGCTCGACGTAGACGTCACCCAACCTGCACAGACATTCGGCTTCTTTAACCTTGTTGGGTTTACTGGGATCTGTAGGCAGAAAGTTTTAGAAATCAGATTCAGCTGAACTTCAACAGTTCCATTCAGGTTAATATGGTTAAATTGTTGGTAAATTATTTGTGTTTCAACTGTAAAACTATAAAATCAAATATACCCCCCATCATATCTGAGATCTTTATAATTTCTTCATTCTATGTTCTGCTGCAACTTTAAACATTAGGCAATGCTAATCATGATAAAATTAGGACAGTGTATGCATGGAAAGCAATGTATTTGCAAACCGTGAACAAGCTTTAGGGCGGCTGCTAGGTTCTGTTCTGCTGCATCCAGGTCTCCTTTTCTCATGTCACAGTCTGAGGTATGGATGTACCTGTGGTAGGATCTGAACAGTGAAACAAAAACCAAAAAATAATAATGGTACGTAATAGTATGCCAATCATCAATCGATATTGTTCCATACATTTTGTAAATCTGTTGATTCTAGTCATTTTTTACCAATGTCATAAACTAAACTTATACAGTAACATTAGATAAAATAATTCCGACCATACTTCCAAACGTTGCCTAATTGAACGTTAGCTTTCCTTTACCACCTCTTTTTACAAAATGTTATGTGTCCCCATATTCAATTCTTTTTAAGATTTATTTGCAATTGGATCTGAAATAATCAACAATTTTTTAGACAAGAAACATAAAAGCACTAACATGTCGTCTTCAGCCTGACAGGTGGTTTTGTCGCTAGAGGGCGCAGCTGAGAAGGGAGAGGAGTCACCCTTCTGTCCTCTCATGTCTTTCTGTGGTTGTGTACGTGTTGACCGCTACGAGAACCAATAAGAAGCATTTTATTAACAGGTTATCGATTGTACAATGCATCAGACTTTGCGTAATGATGATCAAGAGTTAACGAAGCAACGAGTGACTCGTGAAAGATCACTATGTTGCGTAGTGTGTACGTGTTGATATGTATAAAACCTGATAAGAGCCATGATGTGTGATAATGCACAATTGGACTTTGAGCGATGGTCAATGATGGTAAATGATCTGAAGAGACCCCTAGACCACCTAATTTTGGACCATTGACTACAATAACAAAATAGGGCACATGAATTCCAATGGCAAAGACCTAGGTCTACCCATAGACCCATAAAAAATAATAATCACAGCTTCTTGAACGATTCTGTGCTCAAAGATACAAACTTAGCTAAAATCATAATTTTGACAGCTGAAGTAAGAAATAACATATAATTGTGCCATGAAGTTGATATCAGTCTAGGGGAAACATCTTTAACTCATCATGACACCCGTGTAACCCAAACAGCGGCTTAGTTCACTCACCTTGTTCTTTGTTGTGGTGATGTCTTGTCTGATTTTTGCGGTGTGCAGTAAGCGGTGAACAATAACGACTGTTCCATGAACGTTGTGACACCGCGCCAGTGCTCTGTTGTACAGAGCAGAAGATCTGGTCAAGTCTCTAGTGTCTTCAGTTTCTGTTCCGCCTTTCAAGTACACATCACCCAGACTCTTGATCGCTTCTGTTTCTAACATGTTGTTGTCATTTACTATTGCCTCTACCATCACCTGTGCGTATCCAACCAGCAAAAAGTCTGTGTTACCATTAGTAGCCAATGTCTTGTCCAGATCTTGAAACTTTGCCGCTACCTTTGCAGGTGTAGTCGTCTCCTTGTCTTCAGTTGGCTGTTCTTTGCCCTGTGACAACACCCCCTGCAAAAGCCTCTCTGCGTAGTAGTAGCGGTGTTCTATTCCATCTGCCTGTTGCCGATTTTCACATCGCACCATAGCAGCAATGTAAAGTGCCAAAGCTGTGTTGAACTTCCCCACGTCCTTCCCGAGTCTTCCCTTCTCCAAGTTCACGTCGCCCAGAGTTTTAAGCAGCTCCACTTCTGCCAGCCTGTCCGTGTCGGCCATGGCGTCCACCAGGGCTCGGAGGTAGTCTGTCTCCGCACGGGCTCCGTACCTCCTGCCCTTCTCGTCCGCCTCACGGAGTTTCTCACATACCCGCAACATGGCGACCCTCTGCTGAGCTGAGAGAACACCAGTAAAACTCTTCAATGTTCTTTGTGTTGACTTTATGGGCGTGACTCAAACAAACTAACACCCTCAGGCTGCTGCTGGTGTCAGCATTACATCATCTGTCAAAAGTACAAAAGTCCAGTACCCCCACTAAAACATTGTCAATACTCGTAAACATGTCAGGTAGCGTGTGGTATACATTTCTAATGAACTAAGACAAACCTTCTATCATGAAACATACCCATTCTTACCCTTTTACTGTTACTAAGAAACGAGAAGAAACGGCTGTGTTTATAAGAAAATTTGTGAACTTTGACCTGATATCCCACGGCAATACCAAGACGTTAGGCAGGAGGGGTGTATGGCAACAGAAAAGCCAATAACAAGGCAACTTCATGGAAAACCTCCATTTTTTTCACAAACATTCACTCAAAACCCTGCACTGTACAATCAGTCCACCACAAAAAAATGCCAAGAATTCAACAAAAAAAGTTTTTTAGCTCATTTTAATTTTGAGCTCTCTCACCAGGCTACAACTGTACTTGTGTGCATGCCCTTCAAGGCGCGTCACCCCTAAGGGCACTGCACTAATTGGAATAATCCCCCATGACGTCCATGGAGTTGTAGTATGGACGAGTCCAACTCAAAACAAATACTAGTAGCATGCAGGTTCCATTTGTGTTACAGTTCATATTTACATGCAATCATTTACATTTTATACTTACTTTTCATTTTTTCTTCTTTTCATCTACATGTACTTGTCATTTCTTCAACTATTTTGCTACCTTATAGCGACAAACATGCATACTGTGCACTAATAATTTGTCTAGATAAAAGAAACCCTTTTCTTACTTGGTAGCACCCAAGTACATTGTATAGTGTTTGTTACTGTCACTCTAAAATAGGGCCTTTCCATGGGCAATCGCATTTTTTAATGAAGGAAACTATATTTTGACGTGATGCTGAAGGCTACAGCTCTATATATATGACACACAGTGTGTATACAGTGAATTTATCCCTGTTTTTGTAAGAAACCTTCCGTGTAAGCGGTTTATGGCCTGGGGGTGTACATGTAGTTGAAACCACCCTCTTGTGACAGCTGCTAGCTCTTCCATCTGAATACATCAAGATTTGGCAAACGTCCGACAGGAGTGATAATTTTAACCTCAGCGCTACTTAACCCAGCGGGTATGTGTGTACAATAAAGGACTTCTTTCATTATTTGTTACCTTCGTGAAGAAGGTTATAATATGTTTTCAGTAGCATTTGTCTGTATGTCTGTCTGTCTGTCTGTCTGTTTGTCTGTCTGTCTGTTTGTTTGTTTGTGTGTTTGTGAACAGCATAACTCAAGAAGGTATGAATGGGATCTTATGTTATTTGGTGTGTGAATAAGGTGGAAATGATGCTTGACATGACTAAATAACAATTATGCAAATCAGGATTGAATTTGCATAATTAATGAGGAAATTCTTTAAATTTTCTTCGTTCCATAATAGGACAATGAAACACTTGTGACATGTGTAATTGAAAACAAGAGGATATTGATTATGTAAATAATTTGCATTATTAGTGGGAAATTCCTATAATAGTAACGGCTGGTCATTCAGACCCGTTGGACCAGTCATTACATGTATATCAATGTATCATCCATCTGATACATTTTTAGGTAAATGACAACTATATTGGATGTTACTATAAAATTTCCTCTAAAACTGTAATTCTTGTTCTTCCCTCTCAGTGTACCAGGCAGTGTTGATGCCATGACAGTGTCGTATGAGGGTTTTGTGCCGACCGTGTCAGACAGGTACAGACAGATGCTCCTGCCTGCCCTCAAACTGTGTCTGGCCATCATGACATCACTCGGACCTCAACATAGAGATGCCACCAACCAGGTAAGGCATTCTGGTAACATGCTATATCAATATTCATACAAGTCAAGGCTGGAAATATACCCCCTGTATATGCAGGTAAAATTGGAGCTGTGCCGGTTTTTCAGGAAATTTCCAGGGCGTCAATTTGGAAAACAGTTTAATTTTCATTAGGTATGTCTGATGTCTACAGGCACCTAAACTGCACTGGGCCATGTAAAAAAGTAGCTTCATTGAAGACAGCAGAAAGTATAATTTTATAAAATTACAAATAGAACATATCTTTCAAAACATTTCAGTTGTTTGATGAACTGAAAGTCAAAGAAACTGTTGTGCAGGTAAAATTTGTCAGGTAATTTTGATGTTACCTGCATCAGTGCATGTAAGCAGAAAAAATGGATTTCAAGCCCTGTACATGCTACTTCTTTGATGCTCATTTAAGCTGCTTTCGAGATCAAATGTTCCTGATTTTTTAACTTTTTCCTGCAGGTTCTGCAGTTCATCCTGTCCCACATGGATGTGTTCCATGCCATCCTGAGAGAACAGCAGAACAAACTCTCCCTGGCACCACTACAGGAGCTGGCCCTCACTACAGGGGTCCTCTCACAGTGTCTGGGAGAAGGTACACTACAACTGAAACACGTTTTGTTGGTTTCAAAAAATCCACAACTTTATTAGATTCTAAACTTAAAGGTCAACAAGTTTGTGGCTCATACAGGCAGGAACTTCCACTCCCATTTTTTAGGGCATGGTATTTGGAAGAAAGAGCCTTCCATGGCCTTTTACCTCCCCAACCAATTAAAGTCAGATACTCATTTGACACCTGGGTGGAACTTTATATAGCCAGTGATGGCCAGGAATCAAACCTGTGGCCTCTTGATCTTGTGCTCTCTAGCCTACCCGCTGGGCCATTTGACGGCACTATTGTACAGTCTACAAACATCTTAATCTTTAAACTTTCACGGTTTAAATTAGCTTGTACAACAGTGACTACAATGTATTTACAAGCCTTGCATCTATAGTAGTTTTCTAGTATACATGTACATGTACATGGCAACAATGAAAAACAATGAACTACAGTTACTGCATACAACACAAGTGTATTACAAAGTATTTCTATGACTTACCTATACAAAATGCTGTGACTCAGGTTGTTATTCCATCTTCCAACTAGAACCAACAGTAATTTTGTCTGTTACAGGAGGTGTGTTCACCAACCCCAGTCTGCAGGAGGACTCCGCAGCTGCGCAGGTGCAGAGCCACCTGTCTCGCATCCACCGCCAGGTGCTGACACTGCTGCCTCAGTACTGCAGCAACCAGGTGCTTGTTTGCTTGTTTGTCTGTTAGTTTGTTTGTTTGTTTGTTTGTATAGCAAACTGCTGCCACCCCCACAATACTACTACAACTGTACCTGTTTTTTTATGCAGCTTATGTCTGTATATCTAACTATAAGCATTGTTCAAAAGTATCTAATAAAGACCTAAGTTCAATGATAACTACATTCAGTTCAATTACAATGGCTACAAAGTTTCAGGCATATACACTAACATGTACAAGTATAATTGTTGTTTTTCTCAACAAATCAACTTTCAAAAGTAATATCACAGAAACTGAATTAAGATGTTCTTCTGCACAGGGTTTAAGGAAGCAGCTAAGGAGTCTTGAGGAGACAGTAGGACCTGAGGGAAGGAGTAACAAAGAAGACATCAGGCTGGCTCTGTTACAGATCATGGGCAACCTGATAGCCTACTGTAGGGCTGTGGTCGCACGTTCGGGTGAGACATTATTTTTGTAGCTTTCCTAACCAGAGTTTAAAATACTTTTCCAGCCACAGTTGACAATCTAATAGTAATATTCTTAGTGAAATATATAGGTTGCCATTTTCTAAATATATGTAAGTTGTCATTTTTTTAAACATGTGACTTCAGTTGAAACCCCCTAATACATTGTACATGTACTTCAGTCAGACAGTAAAGACAAACATAAGTTGATTGCTATGTAAGTTTAACCTTCTCCCTGACACCTAACCTTGTAACCAATAGAGAAGTGGTAGCCATATGACATACTTCAGTGTGTGAATGGTTAAAGGGTACATTCTTGTAATTGTGGCTAGAATTCTGTGCTTGTTTCTTTGCTTGAAGAGCATATACAGGTTTTACTTAAGCTAACAGCCTTGTCATGTTATGTTTTACATGGTTCTGGTTGGGATAGGATGAAACTGTGGATACTAAATGCCTTACAAATGTACCCCTCTGACAGGTTCCACAGCCCAGCACTGTCAGCTGTTGTTCACTCCCAGTTTACAGGAGGCTACAGCCAGGGACATCTACTCTGCACAGGGTGAGGATGGGAACTTACTTCAGTATTAGTCTCTCAAAATAATCCTAATTCATGGACAACAAGAAAAAAACTGTCCTTTCAGTAACTGCCACTTTATTATAATCAAAGAACTTTATTGTATGACAATTGTACATGGTACATACAATGTATGGCAATGACTACTGAACATAGTACAAAAAGAAAAGGGCTTAAAATAGAAATTGACATCCTTGTGTACTAAAACATCAAATGCAAGTATAATATGCAATTGAATAGGGCTAATCATGAGTTTCAATATTTTACATAAACTCAGCACCAGGGATAGACATGTTTGCCTGTGTGTGGATGATGTTCAGCACCAAGGACAGACATGTTTGCCTGTGTGTGGATGATGTTCAGCACCAAGGACAGACATGTTTGCCTGTGTGTGGATGATGTTCCGCACCAAGGACAGACATGTTTGCCTGTGTGTGGATGATGTTCAGCACCAAGGACATGTATATAGCCTATGGTAGCGATTTCCTTGTATAATTTAACTTGATAAGTTGTGTTTTGTTTCAGATGTCCGAGGTTCGGTGACCTCTATGCGACCTCCAGGCCTGGGTGTGATAGTTCAGCATGTGAAACAGGCCACCGATGACTTCATGGCGGCGTTCGAGTCCCACGGACAACTCCAGAACAAAGTCAACAACGTGTCTGAACTCAGCAACGAGGAGCTCAAGGAGGTGTGTTTATAATTATTTCATGGTCCTAGTGCCTTTGACAAGCCTACAACAAATTTTCATTTTTAATCTGTTGTTATTCCTTAAACTCAATTTTATAACAAGAACAGAGGTATATAGAATAGAGGTAGTCACACTCTATCAAACACATTTTGAAAGTTTAATGTAAATTCAGAAACAATGCAAAATCGTCAATGTATTGCTCTTGAAATTTTAGGAAATGACTTTCCATTCTTTGTATCAGTTTTCTGATCATGAATACCAGATCCTTCATTCATACCAAAATAGAAATGCTCTGGGAACAAGTGCGACCAGTTTTTTAGCAGCAGATAGCATCAGATGTCACCTGAAACTACATGTACAATGATTGACACCTGTCTGTTCCAGCTGTGTCCGGTCGGTGCAGCTGCGGAGAAGATGTCGACTCACCAGCGGCAGCAGCTGGCTCACAAGCGCCTGACTCAGATGGTCCGCTTCCGAGCACAGGAGATGGCTCTGTGTGCATGTATCCTCTCTGTACTCGCTCTCAGGAGATTGTTTGTTTGTTTGTATTCTTTTACCACTCTGAGTGAACAGGCACTGCTTTTTAGAGTGGCCCTGGGTACATATATATCAACAATGCAACAATATATACAAGACAAAACAAGAATAGAATTTTGCATCAAAATCATTATCCACACTCATAATTGCATTGTTACTGTAAGAAGTGCACAAAGTAGGTCTTTGGGAAGGTATAGTGTAGAACTGGAAAAAAATAGACAAAGATAGAAGCTATCTGACAGAAAAGCAGACTAATATAAAGAAGTACAATGTATATTATAATAGTGATTGATAATTATGCATTTTTCACTAACAGGCGATCCTACACATTCTGACATACACATCCAAGAATGCACATTTTTGTTTGATTCGTTCAACAAAAAAATGTAGTTTTCTTTATCAATGCAGAAGTTCTTAGCATTGTGTTCACATAAATTGCACTGAAAATTTGAAGAATCTTTGTCTCAAAATAGGAATATACATACATGCTAGAGAAGCGATGTCCTTAACTCCTGGTGTCCAGATGATGTAGAGAATTGCCTGTTTCTCCTGTGGCGCCACCTAGAGTACTACCTGCTGTACTGCACCCCAGCAGACCCCACCACTGCAATGTTCTCCCTGTCCAAACCACAGGGACAGAAGCTCAGGAGGCTACAAGGTACATGTACTACAATGATATTCACTTTGTCTTCACAGGAGCAAAATTTTGCCATCTAAAGAAAATGGACATGGTGGCAGCAAGTGCAGGGAGGGTGTGAAAGATGATATTAGAACAGTTATGACAAGTTCACAATACATAAAAGTGCTGTGAAAAAAAATCAAGTCAAATATATCTGTACTTTTACATATTCTGGCTAGACCAGTTTAGATTGTTGATTGTCCATTCAAGAAAAGAACAATTCTAAGCTGGAAGATTGACAAGAAAATATAGTACACATTAGAGCTGTGTACCTAAACAAATTTTAGGTACAGGTACAGGTACAGGTACACAGGTTTAGGTACAGGTCCGGACCTGAACCTGTACCTGAACAATTCGACCAATTTATATGCTCTTCTGAACTCCTTCAATAACAAAAAAACATAAATAAACTTGATAGTTAAGGTTTATTCTTTGTTTATGGCGAATGCTCAGATAAAATATAGGCAAAACTAAGATGTTTTTGTTTTCATGAACACACTGTCCTTACACAGGCACCCATTGTTAACCAGCTATTTAAACATTTGAGGTCACAAATAGGCATAAAATTAGTGTGAAATTGTTTAGGTACAGTACCGGTACGGAGGGATTAGGTATTTTGGACCTGTACCTAATCAATTTTTCCGGTACAGTATCGGTACTGCGTACCGGTACACAGCTCTAGTACACATGTATGAGGGGAAAGTTTTACTGTCACTGTTTCAAGGGCTGAATGGTCCAATTCAAGCTTTACTTTTAATCCTCTGGTTTTACATGTATGTCATCCTCTTGTTCAATGAAATTTTAAAGAGCCAAGCAAATAGATCAGTATGGCCAAATGACATAATTTAAAACATTGTACTAGTAATATAAACTGTAGAAAATGTAGCATACTTTTTCAAATACCAAATGACAGTTAACAGTACATGAGTTTTTTCTGTCAGACACCCCAGGAAAGTCTCCCTTCTCTAACGGCCTCCTGTCTGGAGATGAGCGCAGAGATCTCATGTCGCTAGAGGGGGTCAGTAAGGATGACATCGATCAGGTACGTTTCCACAGGATGTTTTTCAAAACAAGAACAAAAATCAGAGATTTCAGACATCCAGGAAATTTGCGGCTTCCTGAATTCCCCCATGTCACCAACATATTCCAGCTGGCTTCTGACCAGATTCTGAGACCTTCACGTTCACTCCATTAGCACCGTCAGACCTTTTGACCTATCATTCTGCCTGTTCATCTTCCCCTCACCCACATGCCCTCCACCTACTCTGTTTTGACAAACATACACAAACACACACACAGCTCAGACACCCAAAACAATACTTCCGTATGTACAAGTCAAGACAGCAACAAGATATATATGTGTCTGACTTCTTCTTGTCTTCCACTTCCAGCTGAAGACAGATGTGATTTCATGCCTGACAGAACCACTCTTCAGGAAGCTACAGGATATAGAAAAGGTGAAACCATAATGTCATCCTACTTACCAATGTTTCAGTAGACTGCTACCTTCCTCAGGGCAAGTCCTTGTACAAGAACTAGTATTCCATGATCTACCAGCCTGATAAAGCTATTTAGAAAATATGAAAACATGTATTTGGAATGTCATGGAAAGAAACTTAAATGTTTGTACACATTGTATTTACAGTAACATATATCTTGAAGGTAAACATTTACATCTCATACAGTTATTATTTTTTAGCTTTATAAAGATTTTTTAACCTTCCATTTGTGTTTCAGAATTATACCAAGTCCCGTACGAGGTATGGTTTTATGGAGGCTATGGTTCGACGAATCAGGAGGCTTCTGAAGCTACACACGGGGGTCTGACCCTGCCTCGGTCATCTCTGATAAACTCAGCTATGAATAAATTAGGAGAGAACGGGAAAAATACTAAATGCTTGATCAGAATGGGGGCCATTGTCCACATGTTGAGAGCACCTTGTTTACTGTGTCAACACTCTGGTGTTTCAACTGCAGGAAAAATGCCAAATTTGTTGTATTTTTATAAAGATAGATGAAGGAGTGATACTTAGGCATATATGACATCCTGCAATTACATTTAAACCTAAATCTCTTTTAGTGATCACCTATGCATAAAGAACACTGACCCACGCCCACTTTTTGGTGGTTCCGTAGAATTTTTTTTTTTCCATTGGCCCAAGCATTAAGAGTCCTGTCTACAGTGGCCACCTATCTATACTCTGATCATTTTCACAATAGACAGATTTGACTGTACTGTCAATATTCTTCAGTTTTGTTAGGCTACTGCAGTTACTACATGTAACTGCAACTCCAGCAGTAAATGTAGTACTACACTGTATCATAAGTAAATAGTGAATATTTACTTTTCTGCATTATTAACAAGAGTTCTACGAATTCACACCTTCGCCAAGTGGTGTTAACATTTTTGAATGACATTTTAGAAAGGGATGTAATGGTAAGGTGTTGCTTTACATAAATTATAGATTTTCAGCCCATATTACAGACATATATATTATAAGGTTATTATCAATCTTTCAAAGAAGACTATCAGAATGCAAAGGACACAGTTTGTATACTAGTAAATGAAGCTATGTTAAGCTATAAATGCTGAATTGAAGCAGTCAACGCAGCCGATGATGAAATCATTTTCAAAATGTGGAAACGATTTAATAGTATAACTTGCATAAATAGTGATAAGAATAGTGTCATAGACAACCAAAACATATATTTGCTATTCATTGCACTTCTGAATAAGATTAGGAGAGTAGACAGTAAACTTATATTCCTTAAGATGGCCAATTATATAATCATTCAATGATACACCGTACACTACAGATATTTAACCTGGTAGTATTGGTTACTTGTTACTACCATGTTACATACGAAATACGGTAGATGATTTTACAGTGTAATCTGTATAAAAAATCTGTATAAAATTATTTAGTTACAATTCCTACGTTTAAAATAAATAGGTTTTATAACCCACACATTCTACGAGTGTGGAAGGCCAACATGGATATTCAATATATCCTAGACGCATATGCCTGTATTATGTACATCACGAGCTATATGCTGAAGTTTTCCTGACGCTATCTGCCGCAGATATGCAATGGCCTGAAGTCATTGGAAGTATTGCCCGTCAGTATGGCAAATTTCTGACAGCTGACGATGTGAAAAACATGAACTATGAAGAAAAATGCAGTTGGTTACGCCGTAATCCTGTGACTGCTGCTCGGCAATTCAGCTACCTTTTTCAAGGAGTTCATTGGAGGAAAGGGAAAGCCGATTGGACACCTCCAAGACTAATCATTGAAGGTGAAATGTTTTATGGGGTTATTGTTACAGTGACCAAGTCATGGTCTGAGAAGTATGTGTCCATAACGGTAACATGTCTACCATGCTGTTCTTGGTCACGGATGTATACATGATCGAGGAGCGTGCCATAGTCAGTGGTAGGCGTTTGAACCTCTTGTGTAAAGCCGTACTGTTGCATTACAGCTAATATTTTAGGTTGGGGACAATCTAAGATGTTGAAGTTGAAGTCTCCAAGGATAACAGTCATGGTGTCATGTGGAAGTTGATCTATGAGTCTGTGGAGCATACTGATGAACAGCCCTTCTGGCATTGTCTGTGGTCTGTAGATGTTGATGATGTTGACATTGGTGGATAGTTTGGTGACTGTTATTGCTGTGTACTCTAGTTCATCTAGTTGAATATGAAGTTGCTTGGGCGAGATGTTTTTTGATGCTACAGTCATTACTCCTCCTCCTCTTCC